ACATACTGCCTATACTGCCACATGCAGCACATACTGCCTATACTGCCACATGCAGCACGTACTGCCTATACTGCCCACCTCTGAGGATACTCCAGCTATTTAATCATTTTTCTAAGAAGGGAGGGTTGAGAGTTAGGCACAGAGGTATGTGCCTGAAATCTCAGCACTCAAGAAGCTAAGGCAGGAGGATCTCAAGTTCAAACTTGACTAAACTACAAAATCAATTCTAGGCCAACTTGAGCTACAAAGTAAGACCCTGTACCAGAAAAGGCAGAAAGAGAAGGAGAAAAACAAAACAAAACAAAACAAAGGTTTCTGGGAATTATATACCAAGGCTGAGAAATCAGGGAGTTCAGATAAGATAAAATTGGATATTAAAATGCATAAAATATGCTGCGTTTCTAAATGGTACCAGCATGGTATATGGGTTGTGGATTAGCAGCTGTATGCAAGTTCAAACCCTTTCAGCTCTCCAATACGTATTTATGTGCCAACTAAAGCCACCTCCAATAGGAACTGCTTAGTATCTCTTGGTGAAGCCCACACACAGTCACCATCACCATCCACAGGGAACATCCAGAGGTGGCCCCCCCACTGCTCACAGCTCCTGTCTGAAGTCAGCAGAGCATTTTATTTGCTGCTCCCTTGCCAAAACAAAACAAAAAACAAACTCAGCTGCATGCTCTACTCTAGAAGAACTGATTCATCTCTTTTTCTTGGACTCAGTCCCTCCAGGCTCTTCCTCAGTGCAGTAGAATCACTGTCAACATGCGAATAACAAGGCCAGGTCTTTCCTGGACCTGACTCTCCACACAAAGATGAGGACCTGAAAGGGTCAGGTGGCTCTCCCCACAGGCTCTGCCTTGTGCTGCCTCTGGCCTCTCTCCCTCCAAGTCCTGCCTCTTCCTTTGCTAGCCTAGACTCTTCACTCCCTGTCTGCAGTCACTGTAGAGACAGCAGCAGGATCAAGCCTGGGCAAGAGGAGTGGTCCTTCTCCCTGTTAGAAAAGCTGCAGAAGGGGACACCAATTGCCTTAGAATCCAGGGAAGAGCTACCTAAGAAGAGGGAACAATGAGCAGTGTGGTTGAGTATGATTCTCACAGATTTGGTGAGTTTCATCTTGTGGGTTTAGTACAATGGACTGAAGACACCCATTTTGTTGTTGTTATTGCTTTGGTTTGTTTTTGCATTTGTTTTCTGTGTAGAACAAGCTGCTTAGCCAACTTCATTTGGTTACAGAGGGTGTAAAACCTTCCTTCTATCCTCTACTCCTGCCATCTGTGGGGCATTCTTAACTGCCTCTCTATTTTTTGATCATAGCAAATAGAAAATGTTGTGGGTTCAGGGTTGCCAAATGGTAAGGTTCACAGTTTATAGAGCGCATCATTGATTGCCTATGAGCTTGCGTGATACTCCACTGTTCCCAAAACCACTCTATAGTGTGACTGTAAACTTACCATGGGGTCACATCACTAGTCTGTGACTTTACTTCTGTTCAAACCATGACGGGATAAGTGGGCATCAGGACTCCTAGCCACCAGCTGGCATGCTGAGCTAAGGGTTAACCAAGGACCCATAGATTTGAATGTCACAGATCCACACAGCAGTTGTCTTGTAAGTGTGGTACACAGTCGTGCTGTGAGTGTCCAGCTTTGTAAATGTTCAGATATACTCATTTCCTGTCTCTCTTTTCCCCAACTGGTCTGTGGCTTAAACACAGCAGGAGATGATGCTGGTCCAGGAAGGTTGGCCATGAGTAGATACACAAGGTCCTGTGGTTATTAGGTGTATAGCAGACATGATGTAGAAGTGAGAGCCGGCTGCTTGGTTGTCCATCCACCCCTATCCAGGGAAACTAAACTCACATATTCTTGCTCTGGTTACTTATTTTTAATGGAGAACATACAGATACATGAGGCCCATATGGCCGGTATTGATTTGGGCCATCTGGTGAGCCAGGGCTTGTGCCTACCATGTTAGGTCAGAAGCTACTCCAAAAAGCCTTTCCTCCCATAAGAGGCCCCGGTCAGCTGGGGACAGGGATGGATTTCATTACAGGCTGGGGGCTACAGTGAAAGGAAGCTGGAAAACAACTCTTAAGAGGCTGTCTACAACCCTGACCCTACAATAAAGAGCAGAGAGAACCAAGGAAAGTGTTGACTGACAGGAGGTACACGGTAGAAGGCAGCCTTCACCCTCTCGCTCACTCAGAATGGGGAAGTGTCTGAGGAACTAACAAAACAGCAGTGAAGGGCCTTGCAGCTAGAAACTGCTTGTAAGTAGCCCTGTGTGCCTGTCACACGAGGAAGAGGGCGTGTCAAGTTCAAGCTAGTGTGTGAGGTCTGCTGGCCCTGACAGATGACATGTCCACCTCCTTTGTAATGACTATGCTTTTCCCCCCTCTCCTTATTAGCTTCTGAAGTGTTTTCTTATTTCAGTCTCCTTCCTCTGTTTGCTCTCAGCCCAGAAGCAAAATTTCCCTTCCTTCCAAAACTTTTTTTGCAAGTTCATCCTTTGTTTTCCAGTTAGTGCAGAATGAGAAACTAATTTTTTTCCCCAGTGATTCCACAACGCCCAACACAACAAAGCCACTGGTGGCATTTAGGCTTGTGGAGCTTCCTTGCCCCTTCAGTGACTGCTTAAGTGTTCCCTTCATAAACAAGGATGTCAGTGACACTGCTTTGTGCCTTACTTTGCAGATATTCCAGGCTAACAATGATGCGACCGAGGTGGTTCTGAACAAGCTCCACGCGCCGCTGCTGACTCGGTTCATCAGGATCCGCCCACAGACGTGGCATTTGGGCATTGCCCTTCGACTGGAGCTCTTTGGCTGCCGGGTTACAGGTGAGGTGAGGGAGGGGTGTTTCTGGTGAAACATGGGAGCCAATTGCATCCTAGGCTTCTCCCCTCCTTCTGAATCTATAAGGTTGTGCCATGTGACCGTCCCAAAAGGAGTGGCTCAAAGGCTCAAGTTCTACCAGACTTGATCTTTTCATGTATTTATCCATCCATTCATCCAATATGTTTTTATTAAGCCCATGCTTATTTCTACTGGTTAAAAACATATTGAGTGCTAATTTGATACCAGATTGCAGTCCCACCTTAAGTATGCTCTCTTTTATTATTCTTATTCTGTGGCATAAGTGTTGTCATTGTCCTTGCTTTGCACAATAGGAAGCCAAGAGTTAAAAAGAACTAAGTCACCAGTAAGTGATGGTACCATGGTAACCTAGGTAACTTGAGTTTCAAATGATGCTCTCTGCTGCCTCATGTACAAACCAAGATCTAGATATGGCACTATAGACACAGTGGGAGCATCCTAGACCCAAACCATTGTGGGCCTATGGACACGTTAGATGGATGAATTAATAGCAAGCAAGATGGTAAATAAATGTAAAATCAGAAAGCTATGAAGGTTATCTGGAAACAAGGAGGGCCTCATGATCCCTAAAGTGTTCTACAGAAGATTTGACATAGCCCTGCAGGTCAAGAAATATTTCAGTGAGGATGAGTCAGAGGGCAGACAAACCAGACATTACCTGCTGAAGAGTGATGAGAAAGCATACTCAGCAGTGATGGCTGCTTGCTTGTTGGCGCTTTAGCAAAAGAATGCAGAGACAGTGTATGAGGAGTGAATCTGAAGGAATAATGGTGTGCGCATGGGCTAAGACTCAAGGCCTGCACAGTGGAGAGCACCAGAGTAGGAGCCGAGGCCTTTGGTATAGTTGTAAGATCGTGGTGATTAAACCAGCAATAGTGTGAATATTTACAGATCAGTCGTTTCCATCCTGAACTCTACCTAGAAAGGCAAGCTGCTTCTTTGACATGGAAGAGTCCTCACTGTCCGTCCACGTACCTGCCTACCTCTCCTCACTCCATCTCTGTCTAAGAGCACACCATTGAATGACCCTGCTTACAGTTTCTGGTTCAAGCATCCTGTGTCTGCGCCTTCTCTGCATCTCTCATGACTCTCTCCTGTACATGATGCTGCCTGTTCTTCACAATGTCTAAGCTGACTCTGTTGAAGATATTAGACTCTGAAAGGCAATAATTTAACCCTAATCATCAGCCATCCAGAAAGGGATAGAACCAGGACCTGTCCCCAGGATACTACAAGCCAATCTTGTAGGCAAAATGGTCTTCCACAGTGCTCGCTGTCCTTGAGAGAGTCAGTGGGGATTGGTGTTGTGGCTAAATGTGCCAACACACAGTCTCTGGAGCCCTGGTCAGAGCCATAAACTCATATGGCTAACAGCCACCGTGTACTTAGGTGTGCCAGCACTATTCTAAGGCCTGTGCTGAGGTGAGCCCTCCCAACAGGTAGGCACTGAACAAGAGCACTTTTTTAGATGTTGGGGGCTCAATGCATGGAACAATTAAGTTACTTGATCAACATTATACAGCCAAGTAAGTGCAGAGTGAGCATATAACCTGAGTTCAAGATCAGGCTCTGAATCACAGTGCTCTACAGCCTCAACATGCAAAATAAAATAAATAAGCATGTAACCTGATGGTCTGACAGCTGCTTAGTGGGTGGACTTCAATTAGTAGATCTTGAGTATCCTCCTTGTCTCTCCTAGATGCACCCTGCTCCAGCATGCTGGGGATGCTCTCGGGCCTCATTGCCGATACCCAGATCTCTGCCTCCTCCACCCGAGAGTACCTCTGGAGCCCCAGTGCTGCCCGCCTGGTTAGCAGCCGCTCTGGATGGTTCCCTCGGAACCCTCAAGCCCAGCCAGGTGAAGAATGGCTTCAGGTGGACCTGGGGACACCCAAGACAGTGAAAGGCGTCATCATCCAGGGAGCCCGTGGAGGAGACAGCATCACTGCCGTGGAAGCCAGGGCGTTTGTACGCAAGTTCAAAGTCTCCTACAGCCTAAATGGCAAGGACTGGGAATATATCCAGGACTCCAGGACTCAGCAGCCAAAGGTAGGCTGTTCACAGAAAACTCTACTGCCATTCTAAACAGAGGAGTTAAATGAGGTACAGGGAGTTAGGGTACAGATTTCCCATCTGGTAGCTATTCATCAAACTCCATCAGCACAACAAAACAAGTATCAACCAAGACACAATATTGCACAGCGCCTAGTTGCTTAACTTAGACTCATTCTTAATCCCCATAATCTTTCTGCAAAGTCTATTCTTTAGTCACTCACGTTTTAGAGATGACAGAACTGAGGCTTATGCAGGGACACACTGTATATCGGTGCTTAAGCCATGATTCAGAAACCAAAAGTTGGATTTCAAAACCCAGATACCTAACCAGTGCTTAACATGACCTGCTTACAAAGTTTGGTACCCTTCACACCCTCTTCTGGATAAAGTTTCCTTGAAATGGGCCAGACATCCCAAGGGGATGTGGTTGTTGGAGGCCAAACTATAGAAACTAGGAGTTACTTCCAAAAATAACTGTTTTTCTGGACGTTATGCTCCTTTGTATTTTCTTAGTCTTGATTGCTCAGATCTTTTCCTGCCTCACACACTGAGTTTGAAAGAAGAAAGAGAATCTTATGCTGGGCCAGAAGTTCAGTCCAGAACAGCCCATCCCCTGTCATGGGAGAAAGGAAGGCTGACCCTCACTGTAGCATGCAGGGAGGCCCAGATGGTAGAGGACTCCATGCCTCTTCCCTCTTCAGATTCACCTCCTGGTATGCCAGGCTAGCTGGTCCTCATTTCTAAGTTACATTTGACTGCAGAAGTGCGGGGTTCTTTACAAGAACTCCTCCCTATGATAGCTAAGGTATTGCTTTCTGAATTCACAGGCAAGGGCTAAGTTGGAGGTTTACAGTGATATGAACTTCCAGATCACAGTTCCAGGACCTTGGAAAGACTCAGAGTTTGGAAACCAGAGCCTTCATTGAGTAGTGCATGAACTGGACCACAGGTTCCCCAGCGACAGCTAACCATGACTCTTGGAGAAAGAAATGATCTTGGCCCGTTTCAGAGATGCCCTGCCTAAGGCAGCACCCTTCCTTTTAAAGCTATGGTTCCTGAGCACCTACAGTTGGCTGATGCCCAGGCATCCCTAAACATAACAGCTGTCCTCTCTCTATGTGAGGGACCCCACAGTGGCTCTGAACGGGATCAACCACACAGCTTCAACTTCTGCCAGCAATTTTACCCACTGGTGATCTAGGAGAGGTTTCTTTTGGTAGAATTGCTGCTGACAAAAAAAAAAAGGTCTAGAAGACAATCTCAAGAACACACCATTACTATCCCAAAGAGGGAGTAACCATTTTTCTTTCTGACTGTCAGTAAAACAAGAACTGTTGGCCATTGGGATCCTTTTTTCCCCATGCTTCTAGGAATTGAATAATCTGAAAGTTATTCATCCACCAACTATACCCTATCTCATTCAGGTACCTTATGCATACAGACTTTCAAGCATTAAGAAAATACTTTTTTAAAAACTAAAAAATAAAATAAAATAAATAAGGCAAAGAATCTGGAATGGTAGATACAGCTTCCATTCTTTCTGGCCAAGGGCAGCTTAAATCTCATTTGGAGCTTTGACCTCCCCTGATAATGGCCGCTCTAATGCTCCCTGATTTCCATATCCCAAGGTCCCTCATGGACTTTCCAAATGAACAAAGACCTTGGTTTAAAATAAAGCTCATAGAGGGTAATGCTCCCATGAATCAACCATGAAACTGACTCCTGGGTTAGGTGTGGTTGTATGTGGGAAGGAAGTCCTACATAGAGGCTGAACAACCTGTCTCCCTGCAGCTGTTCGAAGGGAACATGCACTATGACACCCCTGACATCCGAAGGTTCGATCCAGTTCCAGCACAGTATGTGCGGGTGTACCCAGAAAGGTGGTCACCAGCAGGCATTGGGATGAGGCTGGAGGTCCTGGGCTGTGACTGGACAGGTAAGGGAGATTTCTTCTCCATGTCTTTCTCATTTTATCTTGTGATCTTGGTATCCTAGGAGGGGGACAGAGGCAGTCAGCCCTCATGATGCTAGATATCACTGTGTACCTGCTGCCTGGTCCCTGCTATATTCTTGGACCACCTCTGAACTTGGAGTAATCTCTCCAGGGAAGCATTCTGTCCTTTGTCAAGGATCACTAAAGTTCTTCAACAGGAGTCTCTCAAAAACAAATCATAACCACCCACCACCTCCACCCAAATTCAATTAGACCCCAGCTCTTCAGGCCAGGGGGCTGTGGCTGTTGATTTAGGAAAGAAAAACCCTCTCATGATAATAAAGTAATCCGTTTATGTCTGAATCTGGCCTCCAGATGTCAGAAGCTCAGAGACAGCATTTTCGTTTCAAAGCCACAGCTGTAAAAGGCATCTATTTGCTCAGAAGGGACAGTGGTGCAGGGGTGCATCTTCCCAGGCTGCAGCTGTCCTATAGCTCCCTCCTGACCTACCAAGTAGCACAGGCCTGAAGCTAGTGTCTCTGTGAATTCTCCCTGTGAGGGTGAGGCCCTAGAGCTCACTCCTGGAAAGACCGGACCCTTCTGAGTCAGGCCCCACCTAGCCTCTGGCCACTGGCCTTGCTTCTTCCTCAGAGGTGGCACAGACTGTCAAAATGAGCTTTTGGGAGTCACCTGGACCTCAGGGCCCCATCCAGTGCCAGCAGGAGCAGCCAGTAGGCTGCGCTCTCCTGCCCCTCCCCACCAGGGCCCCAGGTAATCCCATTTTCCTGTCTGCTGTACCTGTCACTGGCGGGATGGCATGAAGGATTAATAAGGGCATGTCAGAGAAGTGCTATGGGCTCCCAGGGAGAAAAGTGTTGCCTGGGGGTGGGGGTGGGGGTGGGGGGGTGGGGG